AATAACTTAGTTTATGGATAATATCACGTCGATGTGTCGAGCAAACGACGAGTATAAATAATCTTATATATGTGTATATCTATGTGTACACTAAGGTATTTACGTGTGTATATAAAGAATATGCAGGTGTGTTATAGGTGTATTATACTTATACGCACACATACGCGTACACGACACGTTTTTAACTAAGTGACGCGTTACGGGCAATTAGAATTTCGAAAGTTAATTAGATACCGAGTCTCGAGGTATTAACTCGTCGTAAAAGCAATCTCGTTGATTATTTTCTTTTTTTCATACTTCTTATTCATTATTTTATTTAACATCTTCATCTTTCGCAACATGGTACATACATGTAAGTAAATAATGAAGTTAATAAGTAAGTATACATTATATTTATCTATTTAACTAACATCTGTCGAAGTTGTCACGTAATTATTTACACTTAAACTTATATATGTGTTAATTTATTACCAAAATTAATCAATGGGATAGATGGTGATCCACGTTGTCTACTCGTGATCCCATCAATTTGTTCATTTCTCAATTTTCAAATAATTTCTAAATCTTTCATAGCAAATTATTTACATTAGATTTATCAGACACCAATTAAAATGACCTGATCTTCCAATTGCAATTTCTAATTCTTATTTCATGTTAAGATTTTTTTTTCGTAATGATAATATCATGACTTTTAATAGTTATCACTTTTATCAACTTTATATATACTCGTAATAAAATATATTTTGTTCCTATTCTTAATTTGACTTTACTAAGCACTTTTTTTTAAAGACTTCATCATTTTGATTGATTTTAGTAAAAAGTAGATATATTAATAATAACTAAACTTAAATTTAGTCTGATTGTAATTAGAAATGATGAACAATAACGATCGAGGTAAAATAACGCTATTCAATTAATCGTAAGTTTTTTGTATTTGTATAAGTAATAATATGTCATAATAAATATTTTACTTGCTGAAGAAGTCCCAAATATAGGGACGAACTGATTAAATAGGATTGTTCATCTAATTAAAACCTGTCCACAAAAAATATCCCTAAGATTGAACTTAATAATGTTAACCCTTCTTTGCATGATGATGGAAATTTCAATCATAATATTTAGTCAACAAAAAAAGGTACTCAAAACCCTTGTACTGTACATTTGTTGTTGCTGGCAACTTTTTAAGCGACTATTGCGTACAACAAAACGCACTTGTCAAAAAATAGCATTAGGATTTTTTTAAATATTTTTCCTCTAATCTAGAGCATTAATTACATCACCCTGATTTATTTTAAAAGAAAAGAAAAAATCATGCAAAGAAGGGTTAAATCTAGTGTTAAACAAACTTGTTTCCCTGAACACTATAGATAATTATAAACAAATTATTTCTCTAAAAATAATACCGATATACAAATAAGAAAAAATAAATCCTAACATATATCTATATATTACTCTATGATAAAAGTCTGACAGTAGTTGCAATGTAGACAAATCAAAAAATAGAGAAACAGAAATAGACAGAGAGAGAGAAAGAGAGAACAGTAGGTAATCCCTCGATCAACGAATTACGTTAACTACGAGATCGTATTAGATCGAGGACGATACATCTCTGTCTTTCACTCTCTTTTAGGGGATACAGGAAGAGAATATAATGCGAATAGTGGTGGTTGCTGGTGGTGGTGGTGGTGGTGGTGGTGGTGCATCGAGAGTTTCAAAAATCAGGAAACACCCGGGGAGACTCTTCCATCTCTTGTTGGAATCAGCCCCGTTCTTCTCTTTCACCCTTCCCTAACCCCACTCCACCTATACCACCCCTTCCCTATTTCCCCCTCTCACCCCTTCTCTTTGAATTCCCCTCCCTGTAGGAAGTTGTCACGTATAGAACGTTTCCAACCAGAAGACCCCCCACTCTTTGGATGCGCGCGGGGAAGTCAAACGCACACAGAGACGCCCATAGCAAGTCTTTGGTAGGCGTGGCCAACCTTGTCATTTGTCTCTTCTTTTCCCCCGGTTAAGTTAGAGGGTTCCAAGGGATGGCGTTTCGTTCCTCCAACTTGACGTATGTACTCCTCTCCGCCACGTTTTCTATCTCTTTATCTTTATCTTTATCTCTATCCTTTTCTTTCTTTATTTCTTTCTTTATTTATTTTTCTTCAGTCACAAGCTTTCCTACTCTTACTTTTACTCATATTCTTCTTCTCCTTTTTCAAAAACTGGGAGTGCTTTTACAAATGTGAAAGAGTGTTGGTTTCGTTTCCGGATAGGTTTATGTGTGTTAGTTGTTGTTGTCCAGCAATAAGAGTGAAAGAGATGAAGGAGGGTGGATGAATCTCTCTCTCTCTGTCTCTCTTTCTTTATTTCTGATACCTTTTTGATATTATTATCCTTGAGAGAGAGAGAGAGAGAGATAGCGTATGTCATCAATTCGTTTCTTTTCTTTTTTTTTTTATGATATTGTATCTTTTACTTTTATATACCTACTTGTTATAAATCGTAGTAGTGTTTTACATCAGGACGCGTTTGAGAAATGTAACAATTTTTTATTTGAAAAGATAGTTTTGATACTTCGATCGATAATAATAATAATAATAATAATAATAATAAGGAAGACAAAGATATGAATAGAAATGATTTATAATGTCATAAGATTATCTCATAGAGATGAACATTCATTTGGAAAGTATAAAGAATGAACAAAAGTGAGAAAGAGAAGATACGTGTAAGAAGTAAGTTAAGTAAGTAAGTAAGTAGGTACTACGTACGTCATTGACAAGCCAGCCGATAACTTTCCAAGTTCATGGTGGTCGTTCTCAAGAGAAAGGACAGAAAATCCAATGAAGAATAAGAATAAGAAGAAGAAGAAGAAGTAGAATAAGTAGAAGTAAAAGAAAGCAAGTAGTAGTAGTAGTAGTAATAGTACTAAAGTAGTAGTAACCATATCACATGTGTAAAAAGTAGTAAAAGAATAAAAAGAGAAGAAGTAGTCGCACGCGTGCGTCAGACGCGTGGAAAAGTAGAATAAGTATAAGAATAAGAAGAAATCATCGTCCCGGTGGGTTGAGATCTCGCTCGCGCGAGTTAGATTAGAACTTCATGGTGGGGGAGGGTTGGTTGTTTCGGGGGTGGGGCAGAATAGGGGTTCTCGGAATGGTGTGGAAGAATCGTTGAACATGTTGGTAGTGGTGGGGGGATGGACGAGGGGAAGGAGTGAGAAAGAAACAGAGTTGAAAGACTGTCAGGCAGGCAGACACCAAGGTTGTGTGTGTGTATGTGAGAGAGTGAGAGAGAGGGGGAAGAAGAAGAAGGAACGTGTGGCGCTGGTGAGCGAGATAGGGGTGGACGAGGGGGTGGGGTGGGGGTTGGTGTTCCCATTGGTATGGTGGAGGGGAGTAAGAGCAAGCGAGCCAGGGAGAGGCGCAGTCAGACAGTCAGGCAGGCCGCCCGGCAAGCAAGGAAGGCAGGCAAGCAGGCAGGCAAGCAAGCAAGCAAGCAGGCAGGCAGGTAGTTCAGCACAGAACCAAGACCACTAGATCCGTTCGGCTTTAGGACTTAGAGACTTAAGCCGGCAGGCAGTCCGAAAGGCTCAACCGGCTAAGCCTCGCGGACCCACCTACCTTCCTACGGACCTACGGACCTACCTACCTACCTACGACGACGCGGACACTACACGTCCCATCTACTACGAAAACCCCGGGTATACTATCGCGACACTAGCTACCGTGTCCTTCCTTCCTTCTTTCCTTTCCTTTCCCTTTTCCTTTTCCTTTTCCTTTTCCTTTTTTCTTTTCCTTTCTCAGTTTTGTTTCTTCCATTCCAATATCTTCAAATTATTTCATTTTCCTATCATTCCTTCTTTCTTATTCTTATTCTTCATCTTCATCTTGGATCGAGTTGACACGAATGATTGTGCATTTAATTATCGATACCAATTTCATCTACTCGAGTGTCCAGTTCATGGTTTCTTGATTTACCTAATTTTGTTTTGGACACCCTCCCCTTCTACCCCTCCTTTCTTATCTATTCAACCTATATATCATTTATCTTTGACACACGTTTATTCCTCCTTATTCTTATTGTTCTTCTTCTTCTTCTTCTTCTTGTTCTTTTTCTCTATATTAACTTACGTAACGCGCGTAACGTGGGTGCTTGTTATCCGACATCTCGAGGAAGATATATCATGGTGATCGTTTAAAGGAATAGAGTGAGTTGTTGAGTATATGATGATGGTGCTCGTGAGATAAAGATATAAGAGGAAGAGACTAGATTTTTATTCGGTGCATACAACTGCTGCTTATGAAGAATAATCCTTAAATGGAAAATTTCACGGGAAATACAAATTGTTGATAATTAATTTAACTGAACAGGATAAATAAACAATCAAGTATATCTATTCGTTTGTGTTATTTATTTTATTCGATTACATCGATTCAAATAATAAAAAAAGAAAATAATCGAACAATACGACGACGAATCGAACACGCAAAAATCTCGAAACAATCGATCGAAACAATCGATCATCGTCATCGTCATCGTCATCGTCGTCGTCATCCGTCGGCCGTCGGTGCCCCAGGAAACTACAACGAATTCCGTCGGTGTTAATTTCACTTAGTGAAAATGAGTCTACAGTTTTGAAAAGTTTAAAAGTGCCCGACGGGGTGAATCCAAGAAAGAGATTCTCATTCGATTTCCCATTAAAATTGTTGAGAAATAAAAAGAGGGGGGAACAACAAAAAACAACAACAACGAGAGAAAAAGAGACAAAATAAAGTACAGTACAATACAAAATAATTGTGTACAATCCAAAAAAAAAGAAATAAAATCAAAAAGAAAAGGTCCCCCCTTCAGACAAAATAAATCTCGTCCTAACGGGGGACGGGGGGGGGGTGCGAAATAATTAAAGTCGTCCGAAAGTGTTTGAGAGATTGGCCGCATAAAGTCGGCCAAATTATTCGTCGCGAAAGTTGGTTAAAAGGGCCAACACGACGTTAACCTTCTACAGCATGGAGCGCGGGGGCGGAGGCGGGGGGAGCCTCGAGCTCGCCGGCGGCGGCGGTGGAGGGGGGGCCGCCGGAAACGCGGAACTCTGCCTCCAAGATCTCGTCACCAACAATGCTAGTCTATCCGTTCAACATCATCAGCACGCTGCAGCTGCAGCATCCATGGCTGGACTACATGGTGATCATCTTCAAGGTAGCATGCATCATCACGACATTCATGGTAATTCCCATCACGATGCTACTACCACTATGCTACACAATTCTAGTCATCAGTTGCATCACGAACCGTTGGAGAAACTTAAACGTGGTGAGTCGTTAACAGTACTACTTGTTCTTTTGTATTTTTTTTAAAAGGGGGTTAGGGACAGGGGGTTGGGGGCAGGGGGTGTAAATCCTTTTATATACCAAAGGGTTTCTTTTTAAATAAAAAATTGTTAGACGAATCGACAAACACTGCAATCCCATAACGTTTTCATAACGTGCAACACATTGTCGATGAGAAATTTGTACAAAGGGTTGTGGTTATGGTTTTGAAGGGACTAATTTCTCGTCTTTTCTTAATTTTGCTTGTATCATGTATGCGTTTGGTGGGATGGGGCAAGGTGTTGAGGACAGGGGGTGTAAATCCTTTTATATACCAAAGGGTTTCTTTTTAAACAACAAAAAATTGCTAAACGAATCGTCAAACACTGCAATCCCATAACGTTTTCATAACGTGCAACACATTGTCGATGAGAAATTTGTACAAAGGGTTGTGGTTATGGTTTTGAAGGGACTAATTTCTCGTCTTTTCTTAATTTTGCTTGTATCATGTATGCGTTGGGTTGGGATGGGCCAGGCAGGGGGTGGGGGTGGGGGAGGGGTAAAGGTCGTTCGAACAAGTTCGTCGTTTCTCACCAAAGTGACAGATTGTCGGAGGCCGCGTTAAAGATAACGCGAGATAATCCAGATAAGATATTTTTATTTTTAATACCACGGCTGCCTTCGTCTTCTTTACCTTCTCTCTCTTTTTTTTTCTTCTTCTCTCTCTCTCTCTCTCTCTGTCTCATTTCTAAGATCATTCGTTGTTCTTACTTCCGCGTATGTGTCGCGAATTATTTTCTAAGGATTTGTTAATTTATCTGACAAATTAAATCCGTCAATCGAAATCGATAGAGGGGAATTTTTAATTTGAAAAGAAAATTCTTTTATTCTATAAAAAGAAAAGAAAACAATTTTATATCTCTACGACATATCTTTTTTTTTTCATTGTACCTGAACGATTGTTTCTTTTTTTTTTTCTTTTTTTTTTTTTTTCCAAAATAAAAATCATCGACAGGATGAATAAATTTTATTGTTCGATCGGATTTCGAAGTCTTAATTATCGATTAAAGTCGTTAATCGTTCGTGTATTTCTTGTTTTTTTTTTTTGTTCTTTTGTATCAATCGATTCAGATATCGAATTGCAATCTTCTCATGAAAAAGAAAAACGTCCGTCATTTGCGCTTTAATTTTTGTTATTCTCGATATTATCAAACGTCACGTTTATTCGTTAACCGATAAGTAGCCAGCCGTCGGTGTTCGTTTCCCGGATCGTCAAATGTATTTTTCTTTGACTCTTTGTGTTACTGACTAAGCAGATTTTTCAAATTCAATATTCAACAAAGAGTATCGTACAATACCGGGGTGGGAAGGGGGGCGGGGTGTTTGTGGTACAGTTTGGAAAAATAAGAAAATTTATTTCATTTTTATCTTTGTTTGTTTGTTTGTGTTTTAATTCAACGCAAATTTCATTTCAAT